CGCCTGTTGACGCTATACAACAAAAACTCAGGCTAAAATATGCATAAAAACTGCTTTTACAAACACATTGCAAAAGTTTTATTGAAAGTATAATACATTAAATGCAATAAAAATAATAAAATTTCATTAAATATGAAGTGTCTGTATATATGTGGTTTTCGAAATATTTTATAATAATTTGCAGAGCTTTTGTTTGTGTGTTTTATGGACAGCTTCTATTATAGACCAGTAAGGCCTATGTTTTATCAGTTTTCCAAGTTGCTGTTTTATCAAATATGAAGAAATGAATGTACTTGTGTGTAGCTTATTTAAACAATTTAACACTTAAAATAAAAAAAATTTAAAAAGATTAAAATGGAGGAAAAAAAAAAACCCAGATTTTAAGATTTAATATGGCGCTACATTAAAATGTATTAAACAAATTCAATCATTCATCAATAGAAAAAACTGATGTATGCCTATTTTGAGTCAACTTGATTATTGCACTGCATTTTTACTGTCCTTTTGCAAAAAACAAACAAAACACAACTGAGACTTGTTTAGAATTATTTATTGTTTATGCATTTAAAGTGCATTAAATTTAACATTATTATAAATCTGTTGTCATCTTTAATCTGTTGTAACCAGTGGAAATTAAACGTGCTTGCTTTTCACAAAGATGCTCAAATATATCAGAAACCCAGCTTTGCTAGCGATGGAGAAACGAATAACTTACAAACTCTGAATCAATTGCTTCACAAAATGATTCAGTGAATCGCTGGAAACGCCACACGCTGTAGAAAAACAGCTTTTACAAACAAATCCAAATGTGTTATTGAAAGTGTAATCTATTAAAATGCAATTAACTAATTTAATTCCATTAAACATGAAGTGTCCATATAATTTGCCTATTGACATGTGAAATTGTAGCACAGATATCACTGTTTTTGACAAGGTATCACCTGAATATATTAACAGTTGAGACTGAAGATGAATAAATGCATGAAGTAAAACACAGAAAGGAATCAGAAAACAGCTGTGATGAAGACCAAGTTCCAGTGGAATCTCTTCACAATCCTCTCTGAAGCATTCAGTCCATCATTCTGGTGATTGAGCAGCAGTTTCTCTGCAGATGATGAGATTGAGATGCATCTGAAATACACAACTGAGTTTAGAGTTACAGTGGCTCTCTTCCACTAGTTTGTGTAAAAACAGCTGTTCACGAAGGACAAAAGTAGCAAGGCCTTCCCAATGTTAAAAGGAAAGTGATAGTCACGGGAGAACTTTTTTTTGGGTGACTGGGAATGTTTATGCATAATCCCCAAGTAATAATTAAAACATTCTGACAATATGGATTATAAACTCATTATCTGTTACTTTGTGGAGAAGAGCAGAGATGAATCCTCAGCTGAACGGATCTCACTCACATGTGACCAATAAACTAAAAAGGAGAAAAGAACATGTTTGTTTGGAAACCAGTTACAATTTTAAAGATGAATTTGTACTTTTATTTTAGAATGAAATTACTTACATTAAGAGTGTATTGACCGTCTGTAGTTTGATCACGATGACTGTTACAGATGAGAGAGAAAAAACAAACCCAAAAAAAAAGGCAGGAATAAAGGAACAAACACAGAACTGGAATAAAAACCAGATAGAGGACAATTAACCAAAGACGAGAGAAACCAGCAGGAAAACAGGAGGACAACACTATGATCATCAGCAATAACAAAATAAAGACAACTGAACTGAAAACATGAACAAATCTAGACCGATGTGACACTTATGAACATGCAGAAAAGAAAAGCCCACACAAACAAAAAAATAAAGCGAATGAACATGCGTGGCAGCTTCCCAATTCTCCCTCAGCGTGGCAAGTTCCCGATAACGTGGCAATATCCAATTCTGTAGAACAAGAAATCATTAATTAAAATCACATCTGCCTTCAGTGTTTATGAGTTTGATTGCTGTAGAAATGACTGCGCTGTAATGATAGCTGAATAAAAGGGTCACTGACAGAATGGTCACAGAAAGTGAAAGAATAATTTAAATTGTATTCATCAGCGGAATCTGGAAACACAAACAGAACTAGAATTAAGTCAAAGCTAGTCATTGAATAATGATTGAGGATCAACAGTTTACAGCAAACTCACAGAAACAGCAGCTGTCCAGAGAAACTCCAGTTCATCACTTTTCTGTTGTTCTTCAGCGTTTCTTCTTCTTTTATGCATTTACTGGCAGGAGGCAAGTTAACTAATAACTAATAAGGAATAAAACTAAATCTCAGATTTGCTCCTGTAACTCTCCTGTATGCCAGGAAGCAAAAAAAGGAATCTGCACATATAAAGTGACAACAAAATGCTAAAGTGTACTAACAAAAAAAAAAAAAAAAAAAAAAAAAAAAAAAAAAAAAAAAAAAAAAAAAAAAGAAAATAAAAAAATTTCTGCTAATATTTCAGACCATCTTGCACAATCTTCAGGCTTTAAACCTTATAAATCACCTGCATATATACGTGGTTCAAGACACTAATTGGAGACACCAGATAATTGACACAATTAAGGGAAAGCTGATTGATTAATTATACTCTAAGTGAATGATATGTAAATCATGGATGGAGTAACGCAACAAACAAAAGTGGGATGAAAAAAGACGTTCATTAAAGACAAGAGATTTAAAGTCACATTGAATCCAAAAGCGTGTTCAGTTTGAACCTGACGCAGCGTAATAATCTTTATTCACTGTTAGAACATCTATAGACTGACTTCTGTTTACAGACAGTGATCATTAATGAGAGAATGAAGACGAACAGAAGATCAACATACAGGACGTGTTACGTCACTATATTAATAAAGGTGACTTGACTTACTGCACCTTTAATAACACAGTTTGGTAAAGACACACCGACACAATCTGCTCACTACAACACACACAGAGTCAGGATCAGACAGAAATCCTGATTCAGTGACTTCAAGACACAAGGTACCATAAGATTAGATCATTAGATTTAAAGCAATGAATTTAGGAAAAGTCCTAACGCTTACACATATTAAAAAATACTGATACAAAAAGAAATGTTTTATTCTGTTAAGATATGTTTAGATGTTACCCTAGAAAACAGACACGCAGATGTTTATGATTAAGAGAGAGATCTTTGGTCTTCTCAAGATTCTTCAGTCTTCAGACTCCCAGCGTGTCTTCAGTCACCTGAGATCCCAGCAGGAGGTTCCCGTCACACACACACTGAGACAGACCGCCCGCTGAAACACACACACACACACACACACACACACACACACACACACACACACACACACACACTCAATCACCACTGAACAAGGACATGTACAGCAAGCACTGAATGAATGAATGAGCGTCGTCTCACGTTTCTGAGAGCGGATCCATGACGCCGCCTTCATGGCCACAAACTGCCACTCCACCTGCTGATCGAGTTTATACGAGTATAACCAGATGAGAGCGAGGACGGTGGCCCACACTGACCCATCCACCTGAAACACACACACACACGTCAGACACACACACAGAGAGAGAGAGAGAGAGACAATCATGACCTACCTGAGGATATGACATCGCATAATAGTAATAATCTTTATTTTCTATAGCGCCTTTAATGTTACATCTCAAAGCGCTTTACATAAACAAGTAAAACAATAAAATAACCCATGTGTGACCCTGGAGCACAAAACCAGTCATAAGGGTCAATTTTGTGAAATTATGTCACGCATTAGTGTATTTAGGGAGTTTAAAGCTCTGACAAATATCGAGGTGCCAAACCATGCAGACTGCACAGCCTTAAATAAGCACCAGAATTTTAAAATCTGCCCTAAACCTAACAGCGAGCCGATGCAAGGACCGCAAGAGAGGAGTGATATGATCTCTAATCCTAGTTCTAGTTAGGATTCTAGCAGCCAAATTTTGTTTAGGGTAGTAAACCCTATAAATGCAATAGTCAATAATACAGGAGAATACAACAGTGTTAATCAACTTCTCAGCACTGGATTTGTCCCACCTGTGCTGGTCTGTGATTGGTCACCTCGTCCTCCGTCTTCCCAAACACACCAGCCAGCGCAGCGTTCAGCTCCCAGCATCCCACTGCCTTCTGAAGAGAGACCAGCTGGAGCAAAGGGTCCTTCTGGAGCTCGGGTTCGGCTGAAACACACGCATGGATTAGATAGAAAGAAGCAGCATGATTTATGTTGTGATTGTCAGTAAAGCAGATCAGTGCAGACAGGATTCGTTTTCAGGGCTATAAACGGATCCTAGTTAAGGCTGTTTCTCAATGTTCTGAAACAGAGTGAGTTTAGCCATTTCTGAAGCTTTGACCTCAGCACCTGAAGCAGACAGACCAGCGGTGATGACGACGATGACATCACCATCCAAACGCAGTGATGATGTCATCACACACAGTTCAGCGTTACATGACAAAAAATCCAGCTGATGCAAGACATGCACAAATAAACAAAATCTAACTGCAATCCAAACATAACCAAACTCTTACTGTAGAAACGCGTGCATGATGATTAAAGTGTGATGCTATCAATCCAGGCTACTACTGTATGTAATAACATGCTTTTTTCTTTTCCATCTCAAAGAAAACACTTCTGAAATGATCTACATGCAGTGTTTTTGCACTATTTAAAGTGTTTAGAGCAACAGCACAAAAACCCGTGAGAAACATATTTGATTTCCATAAGCTGACCTTCATTAGTTGCCCATTCGTTTAAGTTTTGTTTCGTTTAAGCATATTTAAACATTAAGAGTGCCACATCAGGAAACTACATTTACCCATAAATGGTTTGTCATTGCTTCCTATGATCTCTATAGTTACTGTTAAGGGCAATTAATAGAAGAAATGTTGTACGCTGATGTGGCTTATTCAGATGGGATGGAAATCCAGCACTGTACTTGTTACATAATAATATGACGTCCACATCTGATCAGAGTAATGTGTTCTGAATGTGAGCCGGATGTGTTGATTTACCCCGATGTGACGCAGAAGCAGATGCAACCATCATTCTGCATTCTGTAGATTGGAAGATGACACGATTAGACGTTGATTTAAGAGCATTTGCTAAAAAACAAGCATTCAAAGAGTGACAATCAGACATTGAGAAAAGAACAAGACAAATTAGTGACGTGCGTGTTGGCTGCTTACTTCTCTCACACGGTTCAGTGTCAACCCTCATTGCTATGAATACAGAGAGAAACTGATGAGAGCACATTCAGATATGGAGAAAAAGACAATTAGATAAAAATACACGTTCAAAAAAGAACAAGACAAGTTGAGTGGCCTGCCTTTTGTCTCTGCATATCTCCTACTTCCTATAGAGCTACATTCCTTGAGAACCACCCTTCCTAAAAATACAGAGAGAAAAACACACATAAGAATAACAGACACTTTAAAAACACTCATCTGTCAAAATCACAAACTAAATCAAAAACACTCAAATCCATCTCAAGAGCTCCAAAAACTGTCAAGTTGGTTGCATTCTTTCTTCTATTTTTCAGTAATTAGCTCTATGTATTGGTACTGAAAAACCATCCGTTATTAGTTTTTATATTTTACTTGGTTTATCCACAGTGGGCATCTTTGTGCCACATCTTCATTATATGAACATATACAGAAATCTCAATATTTCTGTAAATTCTCTCAATATTAAAAACCAATCTTCAGCAGGTTCAAGAAGTTCTTGTTCTTTAGACCAGGGATGGAGCTGTGTCCTTTGGCCTCCCTGCTGCACAACTGCTGTTTCTTTTGTTCTTGAAAAGAATTGCATTTATTTAGACGCAGAACCGTCTCTTTACGACCACAACAAAAGGGGGACTTTTCAGACGCGCTCTCCGACTTCTCCTCAGCACCAGGCGCCAGATAAACAAGTGTGGAAAAGGTACAGATGGAAAATGAACCATACAAGTGTGAATGTGCAATTCGAATGCTTTCGAAATGCGTCTATCTTTGCGCGAATCATTCGTGATCCAGCTTCACCTATAGAAGAAGTGAGTGTAAGGTTTTTTAATGAATCTTTGCAAATAATGTGCTAATTAGCAAGTTTCACGATGAATGTGGCTAAAGTAAACTCGGAAAGAGAGGCTCGGAAGAGAGGGGCGGAGTCAGCAGAACTCATTTGCATTTAAAGCGACATGCAACAAAACGGCTTGCTGTAGACAGAGCTGCTTTTGACAGGGTAAAAACTGTGTAGTTTTACACTACCATTGAGCAATTTTAACCAAACTATGTTACAGACTTTTCATTAAGACCCTAAAGAATCATATCAGCTTGTGGAAAATGGGCATCCGGTGACCCCTTTAAGATGGAAATAAGATCAAGACCTTCGATCACGTCATGATCTATTCTGTCGTGCAGCGCTCAAAATTGTGGACAACATAAGCCAGTTCCACCGTAAAACAGCCTCTGAATCGTGAAACTCAGATGAGCTCAGTACTGAATCGTTTTCTTTCATGAATTTAAATGTGTGCAGCCTTCCGTTTGAGAGGCACCCATAGATAAGCTTTGTTGAACTGAAAAAGGCCCTGACTCTGGATTCCCAACGCCTCAGAATCCATTCTTTTTGGAATTGATTCCCAGCCCTAGTCTTATTCAAATAGCTAGCTATCTATGTAGAAACTGGCTCGCTGGATGACACAGTTTCAGACTCAGATGTGCTCTTGCTGTGACACAACCACAGAAACTGTGGTTAAACCAGGTAAAATAACAACTGCATCACCAATACAAAGAGATCATCAATCCAAAGAGATTAGGAAAATGATCAAACACCCTCGATTGGACCACTTGAGCTGGACTGACCCACATAAAAGGTTAAAAAGGAAAGAACAATGTATATTATTTCTTACGGCTCATTTTCGCAGGGGCATAATACGCTACATGCCGTTGCCTCAAACCTAATGAAGAATAGAATTCCACATGTTTAAGATGTCAGCACACCAATATTACACTATTATGTGATTAGCAAGTTTCACGATGAATGTGGCTAAAGTAAACTCGGAAAGAGAGGCTCGGAAGAGAGGGGCGGAGTCAGCAGAACTCATTTGCATTTAAAGCGACATGCAACAAAACGGCTTGCTGTAGACAGAGCTGCTTTTGACAGGGTAAAAACTGTGTAGTTTTACACTACCATTGAGCAATTTTAACCAAACTATGTTACAGACTTTTCATTAAGACCCTAAAGAATCATATCAGCTTGTGGAAAATGGGCATCCGGTGACCCCTTTAAGATGGAAATAAGATCAAGACCTTCGATCACGTCATGATCTATTCTGTCGTGCAGCGCTCAAAATTGTGGACAACATAAGCCAGTTCCACCGTAAAATAGCCTCTGAATCGTGAAACTCAGATGAGCTCAGTACTGAATCGTTTTCTTTCATGAATTTAAATGTGTGCAGCCTTCCGTTTGAGAGGCACCCATAGATAAGCTTTGTTGAACTGAAAAAGGCCCTGACTCTGGATTCCCAACGCCTCAGAATCCATTCTTTTTGGAATTGATTCCCAGCCCTAGTCTTATTCAAATAGCTAGCTATCTATGTAGAAACTGGCTCGCTGGATGACACAGTTTCAGACTCAGATGTGCTCTAGCTGTGACACAACCACAGAAACTGTGGTTAAACCAGGTAAAATAACAACTGCATCACCAATACTAAGAGATCATCAATCCAAAGAGATTAGGAAAATGATCAAACACCCTCGATTGGACCACTTGAGCTGGACTGACCCACATAAAAGGTTAAAAAGGAAAGAACAATGTATATTATTTCTTACGGCTCATTTTCGCAGGGGCATAATACGCTACATGCCGTTGCCTCAAACCTAATGAAGAATAGAATTCCACATGTTTAAGATGTCAGCACACCAATATGAATTTATATTATATATAAATACATTTAATAAATAAACATAACATTTTTCTTAAATATATGCATGCCTGTGTGTGTATTTATATTTACATAATAAATATATAAACAGTACACGCACATATATTATGTGAACAAAAACATTTATTTTGGATGCGATTAATCGTGATTAATCACTAAATGGAAGATCAAGAGCGATTCTTTCCAATCTACCTGATGAACTGGTTCACAAATCACACTGAACGATTCATTCGCAAATGTTTTCAGCTTGGTTATTTTTACATAAAAATATGGCATGCAGTTGCTCCAAACAATGGTATAAACATCATTCAGTGTAAATTGTGATAATCATCATTAATCATTGCAATTACAATTTCAAGAGAATAATCGACAATTATGATTTTTGTCATAATCATGCAGCACTAAAATGACTGTCAGTAAAGGCTGGCTCACACTAAAAGATTTGTACAGTCTTATCAGATTTTCACAATGTAAGAGACCACAAACGTGACAATTGTTTCTATAGTGTGTATTAATGTCCATGCATCACTGCTGCTCTGTTAGTTGCATATGTTATAAACTAGTATGTTTGCACAGCATTTGTCTTAAACTGTTAACCCAATTTGCCCTGTGTGATGTCTGTATATTGTACTTTTATAGTATTTGCTGCCATATGTTTATGCAAATTTTTCACTGTGTGACTGTGTGTGTGTGTGCACGCGTGTGTGTGTGTGTGAGTGTGTGTGTGTGTGTGTCTGTGTGTATTGGATTGATGCATCCCTAATATGATTATGATCTCAGTGTGTGTTGTTAGCTGGAATCAGGTAAACTGTGCACCTGCTGGTGTGTATCTGGGGTTAAGGACAGCCGGCAGACAGAAGCGCAGGGCGTTGTCGGCCTGAACGCTGAGCTCGATGATGTAGACGATGGTGATGGAGGCGTTCTGACCCGGAGACAAACAGCCCACACTCAGTCTGAACACATCCGAACTCTGATCGCTCTCTTCCAGCAGAAACGCCTGCTGACCGGAACTCACAGCATCATCATACTGATCCCGTGCCTGTGAGAGACAAACACATCCATAACCCCAACACCAGAACATCCTACCTTACTGTTATACCAGCTGACATGAGCATAGAGCCACTGTCCTCCAGAGTTTAGCGCCAGCACACAGGTGTGTTCGATTAGGGTCGGGATGGAGCAGGAATAGATAAAACACAACACCGCAGCTGTTTAGACTCACGCTCTGTTTGTCCTGCACCTCTGCAACAATCTCCTGCTCTCCGATCCTGGCGCTGAAGTGGCAGACGGCGGCATCCCTTCCCTGGCCATTCCTGTGACGAGAGCCGTACTCGCACCCTCACCGATCCCGAAGGAGAAGCACCTGAAGACACAAGAACAGCTCCAGCGCTGAGCTTCTGACATTAACTTACCCTGGAGTAAATGAGGAGGACTGAGACGAGTGAACACACCTGTGAGAGGACACCTGACTCTTCACCAGATCCAGCACCTCCTTAGTGTTCCACACCTCTCCATCAGTGAAGACGAACAGCTGAGAGAAAATCAGCCTCAGGATGAGAAAAACACCTCTCCGATGTTCAGAACGAGTGTTTAGTGATTAAAGCATTAGCTCACTTCCAGAATAAAAATTTCCTGACAATGTACTCACCCCCATGTCAAAGATGTTCACGTCTTTCTTTCTACAGTCAAAAAGAAATTAAGGTT